ATGGCTAAGTGACAGCTCTCTCTGGGTTCCAGTCATCACCCTTGATCTTAACCCCTTTAAGCCAGAGGTCTTAGTGACTCCACTGTTGCTGGTCCCGGGTTCCCTAAGCTCCATCCACCACTCTAAATAGTTCCCTCATTAATGTCCTTTAAATAATCACCTGTGGCTGGGCACGGTGGCTCATGCCTGTAATCCCAGCACTTTGGGAGGCTGAGGCGGGCGGATCACAAGGTCGGGAGATCGAGGCTAAGATGGTGAGACCCCGTTTCTACTAAAAATACAAAAATTAGCTGGGTGTGGTGGTGAGCACCTGTAATCCGAACTACTCGGAAGGCTGAGGAAGTAGAACCTCTTGAACCTGGGAGGCAGAGATTGCAGTGAGCCAATATTATGCCATGGCACTCCAACCTAGCAACAAACAGAGTGAGACTCTGTCTCAAAAATAAATAAATTAATTAAAAAATAAACACCTGTTTCCTGCTGGGACCCCCTAGTCTAGGAGCTTTGATACTGACCGAGGGGACTACCTCTGCCTTTGATACCAACTGAGGGGACCACCCTTGTTCGGTATTGAGGGTGGTCCCCTCAGTCGGTATCAAAGGCAGAGATAGTCCCCTCTTTGACTGGCTGCTGCTTAAGGGCCCTTCTGAATCCAGACTCTGCTGCTTTCTCAGTGGTTTTAGGAACATTGATGCTTTCTCAGCAGTTTTAGGAACATTGCTCCTGGGTAGGATTTCTCCCCTGGATCACTGGGGACCATCTTCAGCTCCTTCATTAGCCCCTGGCATCACCTGACTTCCAAGGGCAGAAGCTTGGTGTCCCAGGCATCTTTCAGTGGCATGTGGCAGAAACCTTCTCCCTTCAATTCTTCCAAAGGAAGAATTTTCAGGACAGATTCATAGTCCCAGTGATAAGGAGCATAGTCAGGCCTCCCCAGGGTGGAATCAAGAGGACCAAGACAGCATCTTTCTCTGTGTGTCTTCTGTCTGTCTACTGTCTGTGCCATTGGCTTCCATCCACAACTCTGCATGTTTCTCTCCCTGTGGCTCTGTCTCTCTGTCTCTGTCTCCCCTTCTTCATCTCCGTGTTCTGTGTGTTTCTCTGTCCCACTGTCTCTGTGTCTGTCTGTCTCTGCCTGTTTGTCAGGAGCGCTCTTGTCTCAGGGCCTGGTGGGGTGAGCTAGCCTGGGTGAAGTGCACGGGGCCGGGCCATTTAGGGAGGTGCTCCCTCTCTGGTGCTGACCCTGCGATTGCTTAAACGTGTGCCTTGGGCACCTTGTCTGCCTTCCCTGCTCCAGGCCCGGCTTTTCTCCCTGTCTCCCTTTCCCTCTCTTTGCCCGTTTCTTTGTCTCTCGGACTCTCTCTTAGAGCTGAGTGGTTGTTTCTCTCTTGTCATGTGGTCTGTGGTCTCTGTTCACTTTAAACTTCACAGCCCAATCTTCCCGCCTCCCCAGGCCCGTGGCTGACGTTGGTTGCTTGGCCCTCCAGGACCCCTTAGTCCAGCACTCAGGATCTCCCAGTCCAACTGAAAATTCCAGGAGAGTGAGTCCAGCTCGGCACAGCCGTTCATGCCTTGTCCAGTCAGTTGTGGCAGGGGCTTGAGAACAGGCCGTCTGAGGAGGGGTCTGAGTGAGAAGGGGCTGCTTGCACACGGGCCATCTTGGTCCTGAGTCCCCAGGTCTCTCCATCCAATATGAAGTGCGGCGCGGCAGCACCCCTCACTGCCAGGACCCGGACAGTCTTGCCCTTGGGCCTTCCTGGGAAACTGCAGGAAAACAGAGCCGACACTCAGCTTGAGAACAAGGAAAAGCATGCTCTGACCCCCAGCCTGCACCTCATGGTTCTTTAAGTGTATTGAGCGTCAACCTGCCTCCTCAACAATCCTGGTTCTTCCAGCTGTATCTGCGGAAACAAATCATCTCAACCAGTTTGGGGTTCCGGTTTCAGATGTCAGAGCCGTGTGTGGTGCAAACACTCTCTGCCGTCTTTCACCCACTCATGGCCAAATGCTTCAGAGAATTCAAGAAACACCAGGAAGGAGAAGGCAGCAGCCCTGACTCTGGGGATGAAAGAGCCCCGAAGAGGGCTGGGGAGAGTCTCCAAGTGGTCCCCCCTGGGGGTGTAGATGGCGCTGCCCGCATTAGCTGTGGGCATGAGGGCAGAGGAGCTCTGCTGAATGCCTCTCTTGTTTCTGATAGGGCCTCAACAGCTGTTGTCTACATCTCTGGGCAACTCTTAAATAGCAGCAGGATGATTTAGGGGCAATGCAGCACAGTTTTAATGGGGAAGGTGTGAAGATGGGGCTTTGGGGTCACATTTTGCCTCATTGGGAGATATCAGCCAAGGTGGGGAGCATGGGTACAGAAAAGGCCTGGGGATGGGCTTGGAGGCTGGTGGTGGCTGTGGAACTGGGGGCTCTAAGCTTCAGCACACACCCTAAATTTTTTACGGGCCTGCTTAGGACTCATGCAGACTTACCATAGCTATCAGGGGCCTGTGCCCCCAAATCTAGACTCTGCCTTCAGCCAGTGTGCTTCTGGGGAAGGCAGGCCCCAGTCTCCCAGTTTTGCTGGTCTACTACAAATAGAGAGAAGAGGCCATCCCGGCAGAGAAAGCTCCTGTGAGCACTGGGGAAAAAGCCATGCAGGTGCAAACACGGGCCATAAGTCACTTTGTAATGAAAGAATCCAAGCCTGTAGCATCTCTCTCTGGAATCCTTACTTTCATTCATTCATTCATTCGTCTGAGTGCCATGTGCTGTACCAGGTGCTGGGAATGCTCAGGTCCTGTCCTCCAGGTTAGCAGGGAAAACAGGCACCTACGTAAACCAAGGGCTGTGGTAGGATGCGGTGGAGACTCCTGCGGTGCTGTAGCAGCACCAAAAGAGCAGTGGATTCTTTTTCTTTCTAACTTTTATTTTAGGTTTAGGGACACGTGCAGATTTGTTATATAGGTAAATTCGTGTCATGGGGGTTTGTTGTACAGATTATTTCATCACCCAGATTCGAAGCCTAGTACCCAATAGTTGTTTTTCCTGATCTCTCTCCCTCCTGTCAGCCTCCACCCTCAAGTAGGCCCCAGTGTGTGTTGTTCCCCTCTTTGTATCCATGTGTTCTCATCATTTAGCTCCCACTTATCAGTGCGGTATTTGGTTTTCTGTTCCTGTGTTAGTTTGCTAAGGATAGTAACCTGAGCTCCATCCATGTTCCTGCAAAGGACATGATCCCATTCCTTTTTATGGCTGCATAGTATTCCATGGTGTATATGTACCACATTTTCTTCATCCAATCTGTCATTGAGCATTCAGATTGATTCCATGTCTTTGCTATCGTGAATAGAGCTGCAATGAACGTACGCATGCATGTGTCTTTATAGTAGAACGATTTATATTCCTTTGGGTATATACTTAGGAATGGGATTGCTGGGTTGAATGGTAGTTCTGTTTTTAGATAAAAGCAGCTGATTCTATCCAGGGAGTCAAAGGACCTTTCCTGGAGGAGGTGACATTTACTCTTGAGGTTGAGTAAGAGTTTACCAAGTGGGAAAGGAAGGATATCTGAGAGGGCATGGCTGGCTTGGAGAAGGGTGACACATTTGGAATAGAAGGTGATGCAGGAGCGGGTGAATGTGGCTGCAGAGAGGAGGAGGAGTGGCCCCTGATCTGGGCCTTAGCCTGGCCCAGTTGATCTCAAACTTTCTTCCAGCTCTGAGCCTCTTTGCATCTGCTGCTGAAGCTTTCTCTGCCGTCTGCTTCTGACTTTCTGTGGAATAAAGCCCTCTGCGGGGTGAGGGTAGGGAGTAAGGCCTTGGAGGACAGAGGTTGGTTGCTCAGGGGAGGACACAAGGCCCGGCAGTGCCCAGGCTGCACACATCACCTTGACAGTTTGTGGGCAAACCCTCCTGGCCGAGGGGAGATTGCACGGCCAGCCACTTCCTCCAGTTCCTTCCCTCTGCCTGTCGTCACGGTTACCTTGGCCTTGTTGGGGGTGAGGTTAAGGCTGGGCGGAATCAATTTCGGCCAGGTTTCTATTTTCCCAGATGCAGGTCAGCCAGAGGAGCTGTCACTTCTGGTTCAGTTTCAAAGGAGGCCAAGGGACTGGGAGGTGCTTGGGTGTGGCGGTGTTGATGAGGCGGCTCTGCAGCTGACTCCCAGGTGGGGTGGGAATGGGGCAGGGAGAAGCTCAGAGGTAGTGGGGAATCAGAAAGGGGACTGCCCTGCCAAGGCCTGTGCTGACGGCCATGGTGCTGTTCTCGGGCCCGGGGCCCTCTGTCCTGAGCTCTCAGAGCATGCTGGGAGTGTTCAGAGAGAGGCTGTTTATTTTCCTGGCCTATAGCCCTTTGGGCTGAGACCTTGTTCCAGGCCTTGGGCTGCAAGAGTCACCGCCCGCATCCTCCTCCCTGGCTGGAGAAGTGAGAGAGTTGGCAAGCCCAGGGCAATCCAGTGGCTTCTCTAATGGCCTGACTCTGGGCTGTCCCCAGCCCAGCTGGTCCTGGTGTCCTTCAGACTTTCCTGGTAGGTAACAGACAGCAAGAGGTACCACATCAAAGTGTTCCTGATGGACTGGGGCTTCAAGGGCCAGTGGCCAGGAGCAGAGTGCTTGAAACCAGAGAAATCTGAGTTTGAATCCTGACTCTGCTATTTTCTAGTTGTATGGCCTTGGGCAAATTGAATTATTGAGCCTCAGTCTCACCATCTGTAAAATGGGACAGTAATAGTAACTCCCTCATAAAACTTTGATGGCAAGGATTAAATGACATGTATTTAAAGCATTTAGCAAAGGAGGTAACAAATGGTACCCCTTGTTATTATTACTAATGGAGCAATAGCATCAGCAACTTTGATTCGATGTCTGTGCCAGTGGGTAGTGAGTCTCCTTCTCTCCTTTTGAGGGGTCCTATTTCATGAATGGTGAATTTCCTAACATGTCAGGAGGGAGAAGCAAGCCCGGAGACTCAGGAGGCTCCTTGCTTGTGCCCCAGTGTCCTTCCACTCTCCCACAGGTGGGCATCCTGGGGAAGGGATTAAAGCTGATGAGGAGGCTGGGGACACTGTTAGTGACAAGAGGAAATGGGTCCCAGCATTTGGAAGGGCCAAGAAAGGAATATTGGGTATGGAGCAGCAGGGAAGATCTTAAATCCCAGCAGAGGGTAAGAGGGGAGGACAAACATAGTCAAGGAGGCCGGAAGGGGCGGGAGTGGAATGTGGAACCTGTGTTCATGCCCAAGGCATTTTTAAAGGAAGTGCCTGGGAGCCACTAGCCTGGAAAATTGTACCCAGAGGGCTTGGGCTGGGCAAAAGAAAAGGCCGTCACCGCCCATTGGGTGCCACTTCTGTGTGAGTAGACTTGCCAGGCTCCGGCATTCCTGCACTCCTCATCTGGCTTTAACCCTTTTCTCTGCCTTTGCGTATTCTTCCTCCAGGAGGCCCACCTGTGGGAGAGCTGAAGGACCCCGGAGGCAGAAGCGAGGGGCCTCCTGCGTCTCTGGGCTTGCTTCTCTCTCAGGACATCTGAACCCGGATGTCTGTCTTAGTTCATTTTGTGTTGCTGTAGAGTGCCAACTTGGTAGTTTATAAAGAAAATAAATGTATTTCTCGCAGTTCTGGAAGTTGTGAAGTCCGTTGTCAGGGTGCTGGTGTCTTGTGAAGCCCTTCTTGCTGCATCATCCTAGGGCAGAAGGTGGGAAAGCAAGCGAGCACAAGAGAGCAAGAAAGGGCCAAACTTCCTTCTATAACAAACCCCTTTTTCTTATAACAACGTTAATCCATTCATTAATATTGTTACTAACCCTCTGTTACAGGCGCCGCCTCTCAACACTGTTGTGTTGGGGATTAAGCTTCTAACACTTGAAGTTTGGGAAACCATAGCAGAATCCCTGCCCTTTTGGGCCGCTGACTCCTCCCTGGGATGTTCTGAGAGGATCCTTAGATTGGCTGGGAGATGTTTCTAACTCTCCAGCCAGTGAGCTGGCAGAAGTGTTCCCTTGTTCCCTGCGGAGTTGTGGGTTAGGAAGGCGAAATTGTCCCTCTGTCTGTGTGTCAGGTGAGAAGCCATACTTCAGGCCTGTTTCAACGTCTAATCAGTGGCTCTGTGCCCTCACAGTTAGATGAGGAAGAGGAGCGAAGGAAAAGGCGCCGGGAGAAGAACAAAGTCGCAGCAGCACGATGCCGGAACAAGAAGAAGGAGCGCACGGAGTTCCTGCAGCGGGTGAGCTGGCCGGGTGGGTGGGGAGGCCTGCCGTTCCTCGGAGTGAGCTTGTGTACTCTGGACCGGGAGAGGCCATCAGATGTCTCTGTAGTCAGTGAACATCTGCTAGCAGCTGCCAAAGCAGCCTTGGCCCCTCTGCTCTTTCCTACCTCCTGTTTCCGCCCCACCTCTGAACCAAGACAACCACGGGCAGCCTTCAGCAGTTCCTGCCCACACAACCCTTGGAACCCCAAGAAAGAAGGAGGTGCCGCGTTCCCCTCCACTGAAGCTAGACCCTTGGTGCTGATTGACCCAGATGGCCCAGGACTGCCACTGTCTATTTTGGTTCCCTGGTGGCTACCAAAGTTGTCTAGGGTGGGTGCCAATGAAGCTAGGTCGTAACATCCTGCATGTGGGCAGTGGACACAGCCTCTGGCCTGGCTACATCTGCACAGGGAAAAGCTCCTTCCCTCAGCTGCAGGTGGCTTATCCAGCCCTGCATGCCATCTGGCCAGCCCCTCAGCCACACTGAAGGTGGCCTCCAAGCTCTTTGCTGCTGCCTCTGGGAATCAGGGGTCAGCTCTGCATGCAGAGGTCAGCCAGGGGTTGCTCTTCCTCCTGGCCCTACCTGCCCTTTCATGTGGAATGTGCCGAGCAGGATGTTAGTTGTTTTTCTCCCCGGAGTCTTGCCTCTTAGAGCTTCCCTGCATCTCAGAAATGGTGGCTGGCAGTGAGGGAACATGACCAGAAAGCTAATCGGTCCAAGCCAGTAGACTCTTATCTTTTCACCCCTGATTATTGGTTCATTGCTGAATAATAAAAACATAATGGAGCAGGTCCTATTCTAAACGTACACAGTGATTAACAATAGTTGCCACTATTTGTAAAGTTGGGTGCTGTGCTAAATGTTGTATGTACATTATCTCATTGTATTGGGATAATAACCACATGAAGTGGGTCCGTTCATTATCCTCTTTCACCAGATGAGGAAACTGAGGAAGAGTGGGGCTAAGTAACTTGCCCACATCTCTGTTATATTGGCTTTGATTCATTCATTCATTTGTTTGCTCTCTTGTTCATTAATTGATTCAACAGGTATTTTTAAGCATGTACTAAATGTGCCCCTCTGTGCTGGGTACACTGGGGGCACATAGGAGCGACAGTCCTCCTGTGGGAGCTGGAGAGACAAGGCTAGGACTAGCCTAGACTAGCCGAGTGTTCTTGGACGCTGGAGAGTCTATGGGTCTCTTCTCATGCTTGCAACAAGCAGAGAGCTATTCTGTAGTTGAGTGTAGACAGCATGGGGCCGCATATCTACTTCCAGGCTGAGTGTGCAGGGCAGGGAATGGTTATTATAGATGGGGGTTAGATTCCTGGATCTGGGAGCTTCTTGGAAGAGATGGTGCTATAACACTGGGCTGGAAATCTTCAGGAATTTTCTAAGACATGGGCCTTCAAGATGGATGGAGTGTCACATACCTCATTTCCAGCACTGAGTGCCTGCCATGAGCAGAGCTGGATGAGAAACTGCAGGGACTGGGGAACCTTCGTGTGAGATCCCTGCCTTCAGGAGCTTGTCGGCCAGTTACCAGGCGAGATAGGCCCGAGTGGACAGCATGTTAGTGACACACGAGTGCCACAAAGAGTAGGTGCCCGATGAACGGCGCTCACTGCCCTTCACATTCCGGGAACACTTGCTGAGCACCTACTGTGTGCGAGGCATTTCTGGTGTTTTATTTAATCCTTATAACAGTCCAGTGAGATAATATCATGTATCCCCATTTTAGAGACTGACCTGTAGCTCAGAGGGGTCAAGTTACTTGGCCAAGTGAGTGGTAAGCTTGGTTTCATTCATCCTTTGCTGATCTGCCCGTCCTTTTAGTAGATGTTTATGAGTGCCTGCGGCACCGAGGGCAGGCGGGGGTGTCGGCAGTGGAATGGCAGGCAGGAAACGAGAAATAGTGACATGCTGAGCGGGCAAGTCCAGTGAGCTGTGAGAACACACAGCAGGGGCCCTACCCTGGTCTAGGCTAAGGAAAGGCTGCTTCCATTCAGACATAAAAGAGGAGTGAGATGAAGGCCCTAGTGGGTTACCAGGAATGGAAGGGCTCAAGCAAAGGCAAGAGGTGCTGTTTACAGATGTGTTTAAGGCATTGAAAAGGAGACCGGCCGGAGTTTAGAGTACCACGTGTCGGGGTGGAGAGGCAGGCAGGGCCCAGATCCCTCATAATAGGGTGATGCTAGATGCCGGGTTGCCTGAGGCATGCCTAGTCTGTGCCTGTTGTCCTGGCCTCATGATTAGTAGCCCCTTCTTTGACTCTCACAAGTGCTGCCTTAGGATGATGGATTATACGGTCATGGAGAGCCACTGAAGGGTTGCAGGAGGGGAGGCACGCCTTCAAAAGATCCCTCTGGCTGCAGCGGGGGGCACAGATTGGGGTGGAAGGATCAGTTTTTGGAAGTATCATATTGTTCCAGTGAAAGGGAAGCGTGCAGCCTTGGGGTCTTGGGGGAGATTTGGGCAGCATTGTCGGGGCCCAAACCCAGTCCTCCCCGCACCCCTGTGTTCTCCTCCTCCTCCCCAGCCTTGGAAGCAGAGGTTGGGTGTGAAGTGTAGGGCAGGAGTGCAGGTGGCTGTGTTGACAGTCAGTGCCTGCAGACCTGGGGGATTCCTCTTGTATTTTTTTTCAATAAGTAAACTATTTACAAGGCTCAGAGATGCATATATTCATTGTTAATAAATATTAATTATTAAGTTAGGGGATATATACAACTGGGACATATATCTGTAGGTGGCCTTTCATAGCCGAGCGTTCTGCATCTGTGATTCGACCAACAGCAGATCAAAAATATTCAGAAAAAGAAGCATCTGTACTGAACACATGCAGGCTTTTTTCCTTATTATTCCCCAAACAATGTAGCATAACAGCGATTTACATAGCATTTACATTGTATTCGTCATTATAAATAACCTAGAAAATGATTTAAAGTATACGAGAGATGTGTATTGGTGATATCCAAATAACGGGCCTTTTATGGAAGGAACTTGAGCATCCTCGGATTTTGGTATCCGCGGGGAGTCCTGGGACCAATCGCCCAAGGCTACTGAGAGAAAATTGTGTATATATTATAGGTAAAAAGCCACCATCCCACCCTTGACCCCTGGACACCCAGCTCCATACCTGGAAGATTCTTATTGCATCTCGGAATTTGCCTGCCTAGACTAGCTGAGGCCCTGAACCTGGGGAAGGGGCAGGCCTTGGGAGGGGTCAGGTCCACACCCTGCAGGCCCTGGGGCTACCTCAGCACCTCCTCTGTCTGCAGTCAGGAGCAGTGGCCTTGAGGCTTCTGCCTTGTATAAAGCTGACAGCTCCTGTCACGCTGCTGTCCGAACAGTTCTCTCGAGATTGGTAGCAATAATGCTATCTCGCAGTCCTGTGGTGCCCTCTGGTCTTCATGGCCACTCTCTCCTTGATGATCACAGTGGCTCTGGGAGGAGGAAAGGCAGTCCCGTCCATTGATGAAGTTCAAGGTCACACGGTGGCTGAATCAGGACTAGAACCTGGGGCTTCCTCTGTGCCCCAAACAATATTCAGGTTGCCCAGACTTAAGAGAAAATCGGAAACTTGTTAATGGAAGCATAGCTAGCAAGTAGCAGCGTCAGGATTTTAATCCAGACAGGTCTTTCAGGCTCCAAGGGCCATATCAGGCTGCTTCCCAGCTCTTACAAAAAGTTAGTGGAATTCCATTTTATGTGCCTTAGAATGGGTTTTTAAAAATATAGACTCAGATGACCTTTTGTTGTTTTTGAAACAGAATCTTACTTTGTCACACAGGCTGGAGTGCAGTGGCACAATCATAGCTCACTGCAGCCTTGTACTCCCAGGCTCAAGTGATCCTCCCACCTCAGCCTCCTGAGTAGCTGGGACTACAGGCATGCCACCATGCCTGGCTAATTTTTTATTTTTTATAGAGACAGGGACTCCCTGTGTTGCCTAGGCTGGTCTCGAACTCCTGGACACAAGTGATCCTCCCACCTCAGCCTTCCAAAGTGCTCCGATTACAGTCTTGAGCCACCATGCCCAGCCAATTCAAACAATCTTAATGCTTAAAGTCCCTGTGCCTATCATCATATTTTCTGGGAGGAAATTGAGGCCCAGAGAGAAGTGACGTGGCCAAGGTCACACAGCTAGGATTAAAAGCCAGGACACCCAGCCCCTCACCTTGTATTCTTTCTACTGCCTTTGCCAACCACAGTGTAGGTGGCAGAACTTGACTTGTACTAATTTTATTCTAAAACAACAAATGGTTTCATTTTCTCTAGGGCAATAAATATCCAACAGAAGGCAAAACAATGAACAAAAATGCAGCCAGAGGTATATGCTTCATAATTAATGCGAGAAAGATCCTAGCTCAGTTCCTTCATTAATTAGATAAACAAATTAGGTAATTGCCATTACAAAGTCACAAACCACTTCTACAATCATGGTTTTAAAAAAAAGATTCTTCTGAAATCAACTTATACTTACACAATAAATAAATATGTAGAGCCAACCAGTAACACTTTGAGGATGGAAGGCAGTGAAACTAAAACGCAGTTAGTTATATGTTGGCTGGGCATGGTGGCTCATGCCTGTAATCTCAGCACTTTGGGAGGCCGAAGCAGGCAGATCACTGGAGGCCAGGAGTTCAAGACCAACCTGGCCAACATGGTGAAACCCCGTCTCTACTAAATATACAAAAATTAGTCAGGCGTGGTGGCACATGGCTGTAATTCTAGCTACTGGGGAGGCTGAGACACGAGAATTGCTTGAACCTGGGAGGCAGAGGTTACAGTGAGCCAAGATCGTGCCCACAGCACTCCAGCTTAGGTGACAAAGTGAGACTCTGTCTCAAAAAAAAAAAAAGGCAGCTACATTCTGACAGCCGGACAATCAGATTTCGGGATAGTCCATGATGTACCCTAACATTTAAAACCCACAGAATATCATGTTCTTTGCACGATAACTGCATGAGTAAAGCAAGTTGCCCTACACTGCATTGATCTTTCTGTGTGATACAGATGTTCCCACATAGTTGGTTTGACACGTGGTAATTTCTCAGAGGCGGATATGTGTGTGCAGTGCTATTGAATTCTGCCTGTCAGACACTTCCCCTTGCATGTCCAGTTTTAACTTCACACTCACTGTACCCAAAACAAACTTCTTCCTTTTCCTTTCCACCACTTTCCAGAACGGCTCCCCTCCCAGGCTCCGGTCCTCAGACCCTCCGTCAGGTTCATAGTCAGCTCTCTGCCCTATCTCCTTCCTGCTCCAAATCCAGGCAGTCACCAAGATCTGCTGATTTTTTCTTTGAGACGTTTTGCTTCTCTTCTTCTCTCTCCTCTTTATGCTATTCTCTTGCTCATGTGTTACAGGCGAAATTCCTTAAGCCTCTCTAACTGTTTGGTTTACAAAGTGCTTTTCCCTGTGAGTCCATCTAATCCTCACGATCCTCCCCTGTCTACAGAGGGGATAACTGAGGCTCAGAGAAGTTAAGAAACTTATTTCTGGCTGGGCGCGGTGGCTCATGCCTGTAATCCTAACACTTTGGGAGGCCAAGGTGGGTGGATCACCTGAGGTCAGGAATTCAAGGCCAGCCTGGCCATCGTGGTGAAACCCCATCTTAAAAAAAAAAAAAAAAAGAAAAGAAACTTATTTCTAGACTCAGATTCTCAACCCATAAGCTTTCCAGAGCTACAGGCTGGCTTTAAACCCACCTTTGCAGCTTTATACCCTACTATGTCCTGAAGTGAGCTATGGTTACGGTGGAATCATTTCACCTTCTAAATTCATCCTAAGCTTTCCCATGTCTGGGTCCTTGTTCACACCGGTTTCCCCACCCGAAAAAGCCCCTCCTTCCCCTTCTCAACCCAGCCAGAGTCAACCCATCTTTCATGCCCCAGGAGAGACCTGCTCTTTAAGCCCTTTCTGAAATCTTCTGAACCCTGGGTGGCTGATGGCCACACACTAAGCTCTGCCTTGCCACATGCATTACATCTTCCCCTTAGAGTGGAAATGCCGTAAGAGCCATGTGGGGACTCGTGGCCCTTGCATTCCCAGGGCATTCACTGTACACAGCAGGGCCTCAGCAAACACTCACGGACGGGTGGGTTCCCGATACTCCTTGAGGCAGGGGCTCAGGAGAGTTTGAGGATGGAGCTAAGCCCTAGGACTGGGGAGACCGTGGTGGTCAGAGGGTTTGTGAGAAGTTCCCAATGTCACCAGAGAGTCACCAGTGGGCAGGGGGCTGACACTGGCACCTAACTGCCCCGGCCTGAGTGCTCACAGGGTTTCATGCGGGGTCTCTCCTGGCCCTCCGAGATGTGTCCCTCTTGGAATTCTCAGGGCAGAGGACCAGGCCAACTTCCTAGTCATGTCCCAGCCTGTGGAACCAAAAACCACCAGAGCTGATTTTTAATAATTTCCCCCAGCATTTTTTTTTCCCTTGAGTGAGGCTGTTTTCTCACAGCATCTGGTCACGAGGCCGGCCTGTCTCAGCAGTTCTGAGTTCCCAGGCGCTCATGCTACTGCCTTGGAGATAGGCACAGGAGCATTTTGGTCAGACCAGCTGTGGGGGGAGGAAGATGGAACCCCTGGAGGGAAGGGCTCCTGGGACCCCCTGGGGAGGCCGCTCCACCCGTGCCCTGCCAGGAGGATGGCAGCGTATGGGCCCACAGCCCCTCCGGTCACAGGCCCTCCAGTGTCACACACGCAGTAGCGACCACTGCTTGCTGTTTGACTGACACAGGTCGCTCAATCTCTGCACTATCGACATTTTGGACTAAATAGTTATGGGGCTGGCCTGTGTGTTGAAGGGCGTTTACCTGCTAGATGCTGGTAGCACAGCTCCCCCTGAGTTGAGACTATCAAAAATGTCTGCAGACATTGCCAAATGTCTCTCGGGAGGCAAAAATCACTCCCAGCTGAGAACCACTGGTCTGAAACTTTGCTGGCCCTCGAATAAATGTCAACTCTCAAAGGTTTTAGACATAATCCAAGCTAAGTTATTCAGGTGCTGCCTGCTTTACTGTTCAACCCTCCAAGCCTTGACTCGACACGCCTATCTCGCATCCACACCATGGACGTGTAACCCTCACCACCTCCCGCATCAAATCGCCAACATTCCTTCCTTTCCCGGAACCTCTCCCGCTGAGCCGGAAGTTCCCTGGAAATCTCACTTGAGGTCTGTTGGAAACCTCATTTGGGATCCAGCAGGATGACCGTTGATTCCCTCTCTGTGGGCAAAGCTTCCAGATCACAGGGATAAGGAAGAGGCTATTTAAGTAATTATAGACTAATAGCTAGGAAGCACATGTCTTGGGAGGAATGTGACCACACTACACTCACTGATCCCGCAAGCCAAGGTATCTCTCACATGTGTCTGCACACATCAAAGCACATTGCCGTTACACTGCCATCTGTGTCCCCTCGTGAGGCCCCCCACCCCATGCTTGCTCCACAGACCTGCTCTAGGTCCACCTGGCCCCCTTTCTTTGCCCACCCTTTCTTTCTTGTGCAAAGGCTCTGAGGCAGCAGAGTATTTGGCGTACTTGAGCAACAGCAATATCACTGAAGCTGGGGTGGATTGCGGGAGGGGAGACAGATGGGACATGAGCCTGGCTGGCCCCAGAATATAACCTGGACTCATCCCACTGTGATGCAGGCCAGTGTCACCGGTGTGGCCGGCACTGGCTGCAGAGAGTCCGTTAGCCAGGGGCTCAGTAGCAGAGTCTGTTGCTTCCTCTTACAGGAACGTGGCAGGCAGAAAGGCCAGTGCCAGTCCAGAGTGCCCAGGCAGAGCATCCCCCGAGAGTCGGTCCCGGTGAAACTCACAGCGTGCTTCTGTGTTTGCGTACAGGAATCGGAGCGGCTGGAACTCATGAATGCAGAGCTGAAGACTCAGATCGAGGAGCTGAAGCAGGAACGGCAGCAGCTCATCCTGATGCTGAACCGACACCGCCCCACCTGCATCGTCCGGACCGACAGCGTCAAGACTCCCGAGTCAGAAGGCAACCCACTGCTCGAGCAGCTCGAGAAGAAGTGACCATGGGCTGGGAGGAGGCGGAGGAGGAGGAAGAGGAGGAGGAGGAAAAGTGACAACGATCGAGGAGGACGGGGCGCCCAGAGAGCCCTTCCTCTGGTGCATGAAAAACTGTGCAATGGGGTTCGGCACAGCCAACATCAGCCGAGCTTTTTTGTGAAACTCAGATCAGCCACCCAGGGGGAAAAGCGGGCTGAGGAAACCCAGAGGGACCAAGCGCTGAGACCAAAGTTGACCCTCGGGTAGGGTTGTCCTGCCTGGGGCCCCACTTGAAGGTAGCAGGACAGAGGCACCGAGGCCAGGGAGACGCCCAACGAGGCAACCCTGGGCCCTTCTTCGGCCTCTTCACCAGGGCACCCACCCGAGGAACCTCCCAACAGCCAGGAAAAGCCATGAGTTGCAACCAAAATGCGGCTGAGGATGGAACTCAGAATGAAACTGCAACCCATCTGCCCCCAGCCCTGCCCCTCACCCTGATGCGAAGCGGGAGAGGGGCATGCTGCGGGGCCCTGATGCCCCCACCCACCTCGGTCCAGCGCGGCCCTGCCCAGGAGGCGGCAGCCGGGTGCACCCTCGCCAGCCCTGCTGGAGTTTGCTGTGGGCACTGAGGCGCGGGCGCCCTTCCAAAGCACATACTCACCGAATGTTTACAGACTGGCTGTCCTGGCAGGGCTTTCAACTGCACATGTTTTTTATACTTTCCTTTTTTTTTTTTTTTTTTAAATATTTTTTACAAGAAAAGATTTTATACAAGCAATATATATATGGATTTCTATAATCACTCGATGTGATACAGTATAAATATGCTATGGTTTGTTTGTTATGAACAGATAGCCACCAGTTACGGCCGTTGTGTGTAACTCCTAAGTACTGTAGTCTCTGGGTGTTGGGGGTGGCCGGGGCGGGGGCGGGGTGCATTTCCATCCTTGTAAACCCTTCATAGTACTCAGTCCTGTATCGCTCAGTAAACATTGCTCTTACGTACACAGCTGCCTTGCGTGGTGTCTGCCTGGGGAAGGGGAGCAAGGCACACTCGGGGTGGGAGACCGTTTGGAACCTCTGCTGCAGGCCCTCTGCATTTTCACAACAGCCCTCCCGCTTCACAGATGAGGAAGCTAAGGCTCAGAGACATTAAGCCACCTGCAGTTACCATTTTGAGAGCAGTCAGCGTGTTCACTCACTCCACAGATGTTTTCTGAGAGCCTGTCATGTGTGTGTCAGGCCCTCAGAACTCACTGGAGGATGAAACAGACCTAAGTCTTGCCCTCGTGGGGCCTTCAGTAAGGAGCGAATGCTGTGCTTTGCTCCATACACTGTCTCATTTCACCTTCACGGCAGCCCTGCCGGGGAGCAGCACATGTCCCCAGTTCGAAGAGGGGGAATCAGAGGCCCAGGGTGAGTTTACTGGCAGCCACCGTTTGTTGAAGACCTATTTTGTGACACACAGACATAGTCTCATTCCCTTCTCACAACAGCACAAAATAGGCACAATTCCTCTCATTTTGCAGATGATTTAACAGAGGCTCAGAGAAGGTAAGTGACTTACCCAAGGTTACCCAGCTAGCAAGGGATGGAGCTGGTGTTTGAACTCTACCTCCAAAGGCCTGTGAGTCTCCTCTTGTCATCAACCGACTATGATTGTCCTCATGGTTGAATAGGAAGCTTATGAGGCCGTAGTTATAGACTTAGTTTCTGGGAAGGTTGGATAGAGTTCCAGGCTGTCTCATGATCACAGGTAGCGAACCTGCTACCCTGGTAAATGTGTGCCTGACCTGGGGAAGGGTGTGGATGGCTTCTCCATCTCATCACCTCCAAAGCTGAATCCCTTCCCCCCAGAGCCAGGGCAGCTCAGTGGCGTTTACTCAGTACCTGCTGTTTACCTGGCACTCGGTAGCTCTCAGGGCATGTCATGCACCAGGAAGGTGGGAGAGGTGTTCTTAGCTCCCTTGTATACTGAAGCTTGCAAAGTCTACGGTTTACCCAACTAAACTTGACTCCTGCATTCTAATCATGTGTCCTTTCTCCTCTATCACTGGACTTAGGATAACTAGTTGCTGGTGATGACTTCACGTCAAGAAGAGCAGTGAACCTGGGTTGCTTCCCAAATGGTGGACAAGGCCTTCTGGGATGGGCGGAAGTGGAGAATGGTGATGAACACACCTGTTTCCCTCCACCCAACACACTTGGCGTGGACTCCCTTGCACCCTGCCCTGGAAACAGCCTGGTCGGCTTACTGTCAACTGTGGCAGCCCACAGGAACCCCTCACACTATAATCCTTTGATTTTTTTTCAAGCCACGAGAAAAACAAAGAAGAAGACTTAGAAGGGCCCTTCCAGTGACCTCGAAGATGTCCTTGCAGGACTGCTGCCTGCTACTGGCTGTGGCTGCCCTGGCCCTGTGCTTGGGCACCAGGAGCTGGCATCTCCAAAATAAAGCCTCCTGAGCCTATGCAAGTGGGCTGTCTTCCAAAGTCAATACACCAGTGACTGTGCTGTGCAGAGCCTTCCTCACCAGGACCCCTAGCTGCGCCTGTGGCCAGAAGTCACAATTATAGGCTTTGTCACAAGAGCCAGCGTTTGAGTTTCTTCTGGGCACCTGCCACTGTGCATGTGTGACCTCAGCTGTTTTGTGCAACCTGGCTGGAAGGTACATGCTAGCATCCCCACATTACAGATGAGAAAACTGAGGCACACAGAGGAGGTGACCTGTCCAAGGTCACAGGTGTTAGGTGGCAGAGCCAGTGTGTTATTACCAGTCTAACTTCAGGGGCATACAACCTGGGGCTGAGCCTCCCTGTGAGAGGAAATGCTCCATGTTTGCGGTGTGACCTTGGTTCCCAGGGAACTTGTGCAGGAAGCCGGGAGAGATGGCACAGACCCACCTGTGCTCACAGCACATATTAAGAATTCCCAACTCTCAGGCACACCATCTCCAAGGGTGTGTACAGAAGACACACTTTCAAGGCAAACGGGTTCATGATGTGATCTTCTACTGACTAGCTGTGAGCCTCATTTTTCTTATCTGTGAAGTGGGAACAGTAATAATCCAAGTCTTTTTATGGAGTTATCAGGATCAAAAAAGGAACGGCTATACAAAGTGTTTTGTGAAATAACAGCTCCCTAAAATGGTAATTATTTTGTCCTCTGTTAGTGTGGATAGTTGCTGATATTTACATAGTTCAGGTTATTTAAATATGTTTTATTCTCTAAAAATGGGCTGCCAAGTTTGTGTTCTGACCCCGTACACAGTCCCTATTGTGTGATGAATGCCTGGGACCCCCGACCTCTGGATCTGTTCAGCTCCTGGCTGGTCACAACCAGCCGTGCTGGATGCATCATTTCCTCCCTGGGCCTCAATGTGCCCTCCTGCCAGGTGGCCATAAATAAGACCTGTGCCACCTCCGCCCAGGGTTCCTATGAGAATCAGTCAAGTTGATTAATGCAACCATCGCCTGAGAAAGACAAGACCCTTTAGCCATCAGATGGGCAGAAACAAATATGTGTTGGTAAGAATATGGGTTAGAGGAAACTTACATATGCTGCCAGTGAGAAACTGTGCAAAGCAATTTGGAAATAGCCAGTAACACGAAAGCTAAACACATCCTTCAACCTAGCAGTTTTCCTCCCTAGTCTTGGGAGGAGCTCTAGCACAGGGGCAAAATGAAATGTACAAGAATGTTCATCGATGCTTTGTTTGTATTTAAAAAATGTTGAAAACAATCTAAATGCCGATCAGCGTAAGAACCAATATACAAATTGTGGTCATTTCTTAAAATTAAATATTCATTAACAGGTAAAAAGAATGAACCAGAGCTATACGTATCAATGTGGATAAATCTCAGAAAGCTACTGTTGAGATGGAGAGTAGGGGAGCGAATTGCAGAAGGATACCACTTATGCCATGTTTCTAACTAAATGTGTATGTACGTTGATACTTTAATGCTTATGGGTGCACACAGATCTGGGTAATAGAGGTATAAAAGCCTGCACAAGAATGCTGTCAATATCACAATCAGTCATAGGGAGTGCACCTGGGAGGGCCGGCGAGAGGAGGAAACTAGGCATGGCATGGCAAGGGTAAGTAGGATACTGGATTTCAACTTCAACTCTAAATGTAACATTTTGTTTATTTTTTTAAAATCCCCGTCGGCCGGGCATGGTGGCTCACACCTGTAATCCCAGAACTTTGGGAGGCCAAGTCTGGTGGATCACCTGAGGTCAGGAGTTCAAGACCAGCCTAACAAGGTGAAACCCCGTCTCTACTAAAAAAACAAAAATTAGCCGGGTGTGGTGGCTCGAGCCTGCAGTCCCAGCTACTTGGGAGGCTGAGACAGGAGAATTGCCTGAACCCGGAAGGCGTAGGTTGCAGTCAGCCAAGATCGTGCCACTCACTACACTTAAGCCTGGGTATCAGAATGAGACTCCATCTCAAAAAAAAAAAAATACCCATCAAATGTAGAATGACGTTAGGATTTGTCAGAAGTGGGTAAGGATTTGTCAGAAGTGGGTGATGTGTGCATAGACGTGGGCTGTCTTCTCTACGCTCCTGTTATGCTTGATATATTCTGCAGTAAAAAAGAACAAGCCACAATGCAAAGAGTAGGTTTTGCTTTTATTATTTCCTTGGCAAACTCAGGAAATAAAACAAATCTGAAATTACAAAGGAATTGCAGCATATGTTCTTTGAATGTATGCAAATTTAATTACATGCCTGGAGGGAGAGAGAGACAATTCACAGGGTGGGATGAGTTTAGCTGGCTAAGCCCCTGGGGGAGGGTGCCCAAGGCTGAGGCCACCTTGGGGACAATTGCTCTGCTCTGCACTCAGTGGATCCTGGTCCCTGCTCTCTACAGGAGGAGCAATTAATGAAGTGTTCAAGGTTCATCTGGACTCTAGACTTCTTCCTCACATGCTGACTTTTCAACCCAACCCCTACTCAAAACTAACTGGACTGTGCCTGTAAGTGGAGCTGTGGACTGGAAGCCCGGCAAAGGGGAAGGCTTTGAAGACGGGAACCCAGTTTTCGCAGGTATATTTGCTTTCTGTTGCTACCATAATAAACTATTACAGATTTAATGCCTTAAAACAACACAAATTTTGTCTTGCAGTTCTGGATGTCCAAAGCCCAAAATGCTTCTCACTGGAGGCTCTCAGGGAAAATCCACTTTCTTGCTTTTTCCGGGTTGTGGAGGCTGCCCGCATTCTACCTTCAAAGCCACCAGTGGCCACACATCTTTCTCACCCACTGCTCTGACACTGACTCTCTGCATCCCTCTTCCATCTTTTTTTTGGAGATGGAGTTTCGCTCTTGTCGCTCAGGCTGTAGTGCAAAGGCATGATCTTGGCTCACTGCAACTGCCTTCCAGGTTCAAGCGATTCTCCTGCCTCAGCCTCCCAAGTAGCTGGGATTACAGGTGCCCATCATCACCCGGCTAACTTCATATTTTTAGTACAGATGGGGTTTCTCCATGTTGGTCAGGCTGGTCTCTAACTCCCAGCCTCAGGTGATCCACCTGCCTTGGCCTTCCAAAGTGCTGGGATTACAGGGGTGAGCCACCATACCTGACCTATTTTTTGTATTTTTTAGTAGAGATGGGGTTTCACCATGTTGGCCAGACTGGTTTTGAACTCCTGACCTCAAATGATCCACCCATCTCGGCCTCCCAAAGTGCTGGGATTACAGACGTGAGCCCCTGAGCCCAGCCTTCCCTCTTCCATCTTTTAAGGGCCCTTGTGAAGACACGCTGCCCACCCCACTAATCCAGATAATCTCCTTATTTTAATGTGTGCTGATTAGCAACCTTAATTCCACCTGCAACCTTAATTCCACCTGGCCACATGATGTATCCACAGGTTCCAGGGATTAGAAGATGGACGTCTTTGAGAGGAGATTATTCTGACTGCCACAGCAGGATATTCAGAATTGAAGGTTCTTAACTATTAGGTTGGCACAAACGTAATTGCAGTTTTTGCCATTAAAAGTAAT